CTTCGACATACCAAGTGCTGCAATTCGCAATGCATGTAATGCGGACGGTTCAAGGTGCCGATCGCGTTAGGCTGCATCAAAAGCAACAATAGAAGCGGCAGCGGCGGGGCTTATCTGTTAGATCACATCTATTCCGTTTAGAAGTTTGAATCACAGTCCTATCAAACCTCACACTTTGACTGCCGGCCAACGGAATGCGTCGGCTGGCCATAGCCGGGCGCAAGGTGTGAGCTTGTGGGCGCAGTGGACAAGTGACAGTTGGACCTGATGCGTCTTGCTAACGCGGCTTTTGCCGAAAGCGATGATGGCATGAATCGGACCGTCCTGCTGTGCTATGGAATGACAGGACTGAGAGCCGTGATTTTGTGCTGCCCAAAGACTCACTACGCATCCCCAGGACGTGTCACGATTCTGATTCCTTTCTCTGCCGTTCTTCGTGTTTTTTGTTAATGATCATCTGTCGAAATCTTTGACCGCCTTAAATGCTTCTTAGGCCGCAGTTAGCATGATTTGTGTTGGTACGTCTTCTGATGCAGAGAGAGGAACAACTGAATGATTCGTTTCCAGGCTTGAAACAGCTCTTCCACCGTGTTGAGCCGACTACAGCAAAACTATCTCTGTTCGGGCGGTAGAAGTCGCACCATGGCATCGCTGTTTCTTAGTGGATGAAGACTGGTCCGAAACCCTCTCGGCTGTTTCATGCAGCGACAGAATATCGGTGAAACACGCGTATATGGACTTTTGGCTAGTACCAGTGCTGTTAGTATGGTATCACCTTACCCTAAGGTATACTACCAGCCGCCAGTCGGCAGGTAATGAATATTACGCGGTTACCCGCTGTGGCTGTTGGACTTCGGCCTGGATATTTATGCATAACTGTTTCGGCCTGAGCCTATGGACCTTGAATAAGCTGGTCCACTCCAAGTGCGTAGTTAATTTCTGTACATATCGTATGTCGAAAACTTTGACCGTCTCAAGTGTTCCTCAGGTCACAGTTAGCATGATTTGCGTTCGTATTTCTTGCGACTCGCATCAGAGAGACTGGCCACAGTTTTGACTTTCAAGAGACAGACGTTTTAGGCCGGGACACCTCAAGGACAGAACGTCTCAAACTTGAGGCTTGGTACTCAGATGCCAACTCCATTAACAGGCATATATACCTTCCTTCGACCTATAAAGTCCTACTTCACTACATACGCCATAACGAGGATAAGACAGTCATACGGAGCTTAAGAATGCCGAGCCAACACGACCTGTCGACCAATTCACCCAAAGGGGGACACAAACGTAACTAACCCCAATTGAGGTGACGACACATTACACAGGAGGCCACCAACACTCTCAAACGACGAAAGGCAGCAAAAGAAAAAAAGTCGATCAGCCCAAGGCCGACTAATTCGGCGGTGTATTCAAAAGTCTGATCGATTTTTGCCCTAGACGCTTTAATAATGGCGAGCCACACAAGCTCTTCGAAACGTCAGCCAAACAATTTCCTCGACCCGGTGAACACTTTCCTTTTCTCAGATTACCGATCCGGATCTCTTACGTTTGCTAACCTGACTATTTCTTCTGATCCAGAGAGAAGAAAAACTGAATAGTTCGCTCCAGACTTGACACAGCTCTTCCGCATTTTAAAACACTTTTGGGTAGACTTGAACAAAAGTCACCTGCAAATAAACTATCTCCATTCGGACGGTAGAAGTCGCACTGTTTCCTTGTGTATGAAGACTGGTCCGGACACGTGATTATAAACTCCCTCCCTTATGACGGGTGGCCCCGCGTTAAATGCCAAAGTGATGCCTATTCCCGTATCCCAACTTTAACCCTAACTCTAACGCTGACCATCATAACCCTCACCCTACTAACCGCAACTCTAATCCTAACCCTCTTGACACTGCCCTACCCCCAGGCCCCTGAAATGTAGGGCAAGGCCATCTGTAGTACGAAGGAGAGTGAATATTTTTGCGCCAAACCTAAGACTTTATAGTTAACGTAGTAGGCCAGCGCCTGTTAGCGACAGCGGAAGCGGCCGTCATCAGATTGCGAAAACCAATCTTATGCGCACAGATGAACCACGTTCAGGCTCCGCGCCTACAGTGGTCGAAGGTCGACTAACGCTGCAACTCTCCGTCCCCATCCGCTCTCGCCCCAACCCTGACACTGACTGCTATTACCCCCCCCCCCTCCCCCACATTCCCACACCCGCCTGTTTTTTAGGAGAACTTTTATCGATTTCTCTTATCGCTGACATGTTTTACTTCTACCCCGTAATGGCACGACGAGGATTTATCGAAAGCTACGTATGCTAGCCACCTCGTCTTCTGATTACCACTATGGGAATTTTCGCAAGTCTAAAAAAGTCCAAAAATTCATAATTTATCTGAGGAGAAAGCACATATTCTCGAGAAGAGAATATGTGTTTGGGTAGCACGACATACCACCCTTGACAGCACAGGTACTAGCTAAAAGCCCAGACGGTAACAATCGGGTGATGGCACCCAAAAAGTCCGTCCAACCAAAGTAGCCTGTCTTACGGGACAGGTGGTAATAGGGGTTTTATGGGTGGTGGCTGGTCGGGACGTACGATACTAGCCGACGGAAAGCCTTATTTGAACAGGTGAATGATCGAAATTGGCCCGCTCTCCGTTGCGTTATTACAAAGCCGGTCGCCAAAGGCAGTATAGTGGTAACGGACGAGTGGAAGGCGTATAATCGTCTTCCCTCAGAAGGTTATCTACATTTCTCTGTTAACCACTCAAAGAACTTCAAGGACCCTACCACCGGACGGCACACCAATGCCATTGAGGCATACTGGAGTAGACTGAAAAGGAAAATCCACGAGGGAGACTCTGTATGTGGTCGAGCTGTGTGGGTTCACACAGACGAAGTACAGTATGGTCTTTGGATTGACCTCAATGCCATGTCTTTGACAGATATTTGGGAACTGTTCCTATCCATGTTGTGCAGACTTATTCTATTTAAAAGTGATTTTGTTTTGTAATAAACCGTCATAATGCGAATTTATGCCGTATATTCAGGTGTACGTGTGTAACGATGGGGAAGTTTGGATAACAGCGACCATCGTCCATGTAACCTCCTGCGATGTTCGTTCGGCCAGCCCATGTTAGGCCGTCGGGGAAAGTCCAAGTAGTGCGTGAAAGTAGGCCTGAAACCGCTGATATAGCCTGAAGGCGTTTGAGTCCACTGTTCAAGGTATTACTTCCAGGTAACTGATTTTTTAGATGCCATCTCCCGATTGTTACCGCCAGACACCTGTTTCGCCATTATACTGCCGCTTGATGGCACAAATGCGGGGGGTGCAGCCCATCAGCGGGTTCCCCAGCCCTTCCCGTGTGCTCTTCTGGTGGATACTCCAGCTTTAAAATTGCTCCGTCTTAATTTCCCCAGAAATTCATCGCTAGCTTAGATCAGACCAGTCTATTTGAGACCTATAGTCTCCGAGTGAAATTTGACGGGAGCATTTGGGCCGACGTCCATTAACCACAGCAGAATAACCGTGTTATATTCATAAACTGTCATCAGACAGTCATTGGTATGTGCTTGGATGGCACGACGTATCATACTTGTCAGTCCAGACACCTGTTTCGCGTCAACAGCAGCATCAGCGGCAAAATATTAGGGAAATACATGTCTGGGCCTTTAATTAGTACCGGTGCTGCCAAGTATGGTATATAGGGTTAACTAAACACATACTACTAGCTGCCTGTCGGCAGGTAATAATTATTACGCGGCCATTCCGATGTGGCTGATGGACTTCGGCCCAACTATTCCTGTCAAATTCCAGTTTTAGCCTCTAGGTTTCAAATAGACTGATCTACTCAAAGTTGTCGGTTAATTTTTGAGGACATTAAGAAGCCGCAAAAGAATATGTCAGAAAATAGTAAGTTTTAAAAATTAACACCGACATTGTCAGCAACAGAAACCAGTCCCTGTGAAAGTTACCTTTTTGGCAACAAAAACAGAGACGATATCGAGCTTCGACCTGGGGCGCTCCTTTCTGAACTCCAAGGGAGCCATGCGCGACGCATAATCGGCGCTTAATTCTCTCCAGTAGCATTAGTTGTCGTTACGGTTTCTGGGTTAACAAAGGTCTGCGAGCGGTTCTC